TGATAGTCTTCAAGCGGGTCCATATGGGTAGTTGCTATTTTTCTGCTAAGTGGTTACAACTCTCATTTTTGATACATTTGGTTCTTTGGGTGGTAACACTTAAACTTGATGGTCATCTGCCACTTTGTCTGCCACTTTGTGATGCGATGATAAATTCCGCATGAAGTCATTCCGCTGACATCCATTTTTCACTATGCATGTCATTATCTTCGTTATATCTTTATATGCATAATGAATTGTCTCCATCAGTTGAAGAGGATCTCCACAATTAAAACCTGCCATGCACATTTGCATTCAAGAGAAAACTACTTATATGCACATCTTCATGGGGAGCCTTTTGCTACTTATGAAGACAATACCTTTACCCTTACAATTTCACATACTTTTATCCCCGTTGAAAACTTCAACCAGTTTGTCATCAATCACCAAAAAGGGGGAGATTGTCAGTGCATCTAGTGCCACCCCTAGTTGGTTTTGGACTATTGACGACAAACTTGGTTGAGGGACTAATGTGTTTGTGAGAATTGCAGGATAACACAGGTAGTAGTCCCTCATTGATTCAGTTTACCTACCAGAGATGACCCCTAAAAATGTGTGAAGATATTGAAGACAATGGTGGTCTGTGAAGAGATTCACATTGAAGACTATGACATGAGAAGACATCGCATGAAGACTATGGATTGCGAAGACATAGTTGTTTTGTAGTTTCCTTTTCTTCTTTGTTGAGTCATAGGGACCACCGTACTGTTAAGTGGGGTCCAAGTGAACAAAGTCAAAGTGACTGAAGTGATGCTCAACCAAATCCTATGTCTTCGAGCGAAGACAATGAGAGCAAATCTTATCCAGAGCCGGATAAGTCAGCTTTACTTGTAGCCCAAGTAAAGTTGCCGCGTGTGTTTGAAATCTGACCATTGGACAGATGTCAGTTCCTTAGTGACCCAAGGTCATTTCGAACAAATCAGGTCAGGTTGCCTCCTGGCTATAAATAGCCCACCCCCTACACCATAAATTGGTGGCTTCTCAGAGTTAGTACCCGGCTTTAGTCGTTTGAGAGCAACTCACCTCTGAAGCCTTTGAGAGAGAAATCCTTGTGAGGACAAAGCCCTAAACACCCAGAGCCAAAGAGTGTTAGGCATCACTGAAGTCTTTCTGTCTGCGTGATCTGAAAACTTGTTACACTTGAGGACTGTGAATCCTCTAGCCTGTTAGGCATCGCGTTCTGAGCATCCAAGAATCATTGTGGATCGCCGGTGAAGGTTTGGAAGTCTTCCTTGAAGACTTACCAGAGTGGTTGGGCGAGGACTGTGTGTCCTTAGCTCAAGGGGAATAAGGTGAAGACGCGGTCTTCTGAGTTGAATCTCAGCCTCCCTAACCAGACATACAGTTGTCACATCAACTGGAACTGTTCCAAAAAATCCCTGTCCTCAGCAAGCAACTGGTTCTATCCTCTACCTCTCTTTACTTACAGTTTGTCTTCGTGAAGTCATTGCCTGCTTGCATGATCTAATTGACTTCACTGTGTGAAGAATGTTTTTGTTTGTCTTCGTACTATCTTCCATCCTGATCCATACTACCTAGATGCTGATAGTCTTCGTGCTTTCACTTCATTGCTTACTTGACTATGGCTTGTCTAGTGTAGTCTACCTTCTACTGCTTATCAATAGGTTCATTTCTACTGTTTGTCTTCAAAGCCCCCATGTTTTGAAGACTTTCATAAAAGTCACCTATTCACCCCCTCTAGTAGATAACTAGGACTTTCATCCTTCCTTCGATTTCAATCATTCATTTGCACGGTGGAGGCTAATTAATTTGAGGTGTACTTATTTTGCGCAGCAGCGGGCGTGCCGTCCTCATCATCCTTTACCCCCTATACTCCCATGCTCTTTACTTGGACTCATCGAAGAACATGGACAAAAAGGATTACACCCACATCAAGTCTGTTCTCGACAGTGCTATCCTTTACTACGGCGTACGTGGTGGAGGGATCAAGACCAAGAAGGCAAGGAACGGTAGGCCCGCCTTCGGCCATAAGACCGACTTCTATTACATCCAGCAACCGAGTGATACTCTTAGTGATGGATTCTATGTCCTACACCACATGCTGGAGTACAGACGGGATCAGTAGAACCTTCACATGTCACCTACATCTGGCGATGCACATATTCTGAAATGGGCAAAGAACGTAGGAGATGTCCCGGATCATCGACTTCGGGATGAGTTCTATCACATCTAGCGTGAACTTTCCCAAATCATCATGAAGGAGGTCCTCGAAAAAATAGGGATGTTCTATGAGGAAGGGAAAATGTCACGGGAAGACGTCCGAACACGCGTAGCCACTCAGTGTCTCGACCTGAAGCGTTTCATTAAGCTCGGGGACTATCTCCCTGACTTGGATGGTTGGCGCGACATGTTGGAGTGATTGTCGATATATGACAATGTGTATGTTTAGTCTATACTTTCTGAATGATGAAACTTTGAGTTATGCACGACGAAACTTTATTTGTGATGTAATTAAATCGTTCTCCTCAACTTGCGAAGATCACTCTAGTTAGGGCATTTTGGGTACGATGAACTTTGTTATATATGCTTATGATATGTTGCTTCTATTTTGCCAAGTCTGTCTCTTTCTATTTATCAACTATATATGTTGCATATCATCGACTCATGTGACGATGCAGGTGCATAGATCATCGATGACGAAGAAGTGCTATGCGAGGAGTATACGACGAGTGGCCGGAGTGTCAGGCCTAGGTGTACCGGTTTCCGGTTTTGGAGTGATAGCCAGTAGTTAGTTTAGGTTCATGCTAGTGCGAGAGAGGGATACAAACCGACGCCTCAAGAAGTACTACATTATGTATGATGAGACATGTCATGTAATTTGTATAGCTATATCGTGATTATGATGTGACGACATGATTTGTGTTGGATGATATTATGAGACTATTATGTGTATGATATGATGAGCATATTGCATGTTTATGATGTGATTAGAATACTGTATAAAACCTACAAAAACATCACAAATACATAGAAAAAAAGATATGAGAAAATATAGTAGTAGCGCTCTTTAGCACTGGACAGGAAAACACTACTGCAAAAGCATTTAGCAGTAGCGCTGGTGTGGTAAGCGCTACTGCTAAGTAGGTATAGCACTAGCGTGTGTCAACACGCGCTACTGATAAATGTTAGTTGTAGCGCCTTATCTGTAGCGCGGTCACCCGCGCTACTGCTAGGCTTTTCCCTAGTAGTGTCCCCTCAAAAGAAAATGAACACAAGCCACTATCTTCTCAGTCATCTCCGTGTACATCATGACTCAGTAAAGTTTCCAGTTCATTTGCATACTTACTCCTTTTCAGTTGATCATGTAGATGCACTAGTATTTCTTGAATATTTTGCCAAAGCACAAAGTCACCTCTCACGATAATAGAAAATTTAGAGTTGTACAATAAAACCAACAGAGCACTACTCACAGTGAAGATTCTTTTTCCTTCAGTTGAAAAATTCAGAAATGGCATACAATTGACAGTGAACCCATCAGGACAAATGTGTTGGCCCTAGTATTTATTAGTATAAGGTTGGTTTTGCCTTGGTATTTATCCATGATACGTCTCCAACGTGTCTATAATTTATGAAGTATTCATGCTATTATATTATCAACCTTGGATGTTTTATATGCATTTATATAATATTTTATATGGTTTTTGGGACTAACCTATTAACCTAGAGCCCAGTGCCAGTTTCTTCCTTGTTTTAGAGTATCGCGGAAAAGGAAAACCAAATGGAGTCTAATTGACCGAAAACTTGACAGAGCTTATTTTTGGACCAGAAGAAGGACATGGAGTAAAAGAGTTGGGCCAGAAGAGTCACGGGCTGCCCACGAGGGTGCAAGGCGCGCCCCTACCTCGTGGACAGCACGGAGACGCCCCTGACTTGTTCTCGATGCCAAAACCTCTTATATATATATATAGAAACCTCCAGAAATTAACCTAGATCGGAAGTTCCACCGCCGCAAGCCTCTGTAGCCACGAGAAATCAATCTAGGCCCTCTCTTGCACACTGCCGGAGGGGGCCATCATCACCGGAGGGCATGGAGGAGGATCCCGAAGGGGACATCATCACCATGAAGGCCAAGGACCAGAGGGGGAACCTCTCCCCATCCAGGGGGGAGGCCATGGAGGAGGAAGCACAAGGGGAGAACCTCTCCTGCTCTCTCTCGGTGGCACCAGAGTGCCATCGGGAGGGGAATCATCGTCGTGGTGATCGTCTTCATCAACATCACCATCATCATCACCATCCTCATCTCTTTTATGCGGTCCACTCTCTCGCACCCCGCTGTAATCCCTACTTGAACATGGTGCTTTATGCCACATATTATGATCGAATGATGTGTTGCCATCCTATGATGTTTTGAGTAGATATCCTTTGTCTTTGGGTTGATTGATGATCTAGATTGGTACGAGTTGTATGTTTTATTTTGGTGCTATCCTATTATGCCCTCCGTGTCACGCAAGCGTGAGGGATTCCTGCTGTAGGGTGTTGCAATACAGTCATGATTCGCTTATAGTGGGTTGCTTGAGTGACAGAAGCATAAACCTGAGTACGGGGGTTGTTGCGTATGGGATAAAGGGGACTTGATGCTTTAATGCTACTAGATGACCCGGTTGCTCCAATGGCGCAAGAACCCAATTGAAAACGATGTTAGTAGGGAGTAAGTAGATGTAGATAGCTAAAGAACCCAGTTAGAAATGATGTTAGTAGAGAGTAAGTAAATGTAGATGGCAATGTAATATGAATTGTATTAATTTAGAAAGGTTTTCAGATGGAAACAATACAATGTTCGGAACGGTGGGGGTACTGTTACATGTATATAATGTCAGATACAATAATAGTGTTTTAAGTATGCAGTTTAGTATCAACCAGACAGCTTATTTAAAACCAGAAGCCAAAAGGCTCAAAGATAAAGAATATTACAATCATGACTGCTGGTCTACGTGTCTAGCATGACTTCACCAACTGCCACCACGACGCGCAGCGCTGACCACATGTCTCGCATGACTGCTGGTCTTGGTTCCATCGACCAGTTCAAGGTATGCGTCATGTTCCTATCCCCACTGTACTGAAGTGAGAACACCTTGGGCTCCATCTTCACGGTGGCTCACAGTACAGCTTGGCAGCGGAGCAGCTCCTGCTGCAGCTCGGAGGTGCTCCGGCTCCATCTGCATCTCAACGACCCGGCAGCTCGGAGGAGCTACGCCTCCACCTGCATCTCCAGCGGCCCAGCAACTCCCACTGCAGCTTGGAGGCGTGGAATCGGCAGATGGCACCACCCTTGCTTGTATCCGCGACCCACTGTGAGTGGAAGGAGAATCTCATTTCATTCTCGTAGCTCCTTGGAGTGACTGTTGTCCTTTCAACAGGATGATCATTAAAGCATGTTGTTGGTCAGGGTTGATTAAAATCAAGCTTCCTTGCAGGTCCAGGCTCAATCAGTTGAGAATTGCTAGAAGGTCTGGACTCAACCAAATGAAGCTCCCCTGCAGGCCCAGGCTGAACCAAATCAGCCTTCCTAGGGGTACTGGACTCAATCAAATCAAGTTTCTTTGTAGGTGCAGACTCGACCAAATCAGGCTTCTGTAATGGTCCTTGTTCGATTTGTTCAGGTGGTCCACACACAATCAAATCATGCTTTGCTGCAGATGACTCGATCAAATCATACTTCAATATGCTCATAGTAATCACATAAAGTAAGCTACCATTTGAGGTGGATTCACCATCCGGCAGGCTTTTGTCGTTGCTTTTGCTGCACTCATCATCAAGCTGGCTCTGGACATTGCTCTCACTGCATGAATCACCATGTGGACTGTCAGTGTTATAAGGAGCATTCTCAGTGATATTGGCGGTAAGTGGTGAGCTTGGAGACTGATGATCTGACACTGACTCTGGGAATCTCATCCATAGGTCCGAATTCAATACTCCTAGGAAAGGTAATTACTATTGCTTCCTCCACAGGTCCGAATTCAGTACTGAAGAATCTGCTAAGGTAGGCTACCAGAAAACGAAAGCCAAAGAAAGTGTTAGAAGTACATTCAAGTTCACTGTGTTGAACATAACTGGTTCAGGATTATGAAGCTATACCATCATGTACCGGAAGCGGGAGACACCCAACAAAGATTTTGCGAGTGTAGTCATGCTTCTCCCAATGATCATTATAAGAAATACCATGTAATCGTGTACAGATATAAGAAATACCTTTCTTAATAATGGTCGTTGTCATAATCATCGAAATCATCATCCAACAGCTCTTTGTGCCTTTCTTTTTTCATCGCATGGTTCTTTTCCATTATAGCATGGTTTACTAAAAGAAACAAAAATCAGTTGAGAATGCAGTTTGCATGATATCCATTATCATCAGTACAACCAAAAGCACCTAACCAACCTTTATATAATTCAAATATTTTTTTTCTTCTAGTGTAGGTGGCATCTGTCCAGGCTGTGCCGGCACTCCCTGAAGCTTGTGACTTTCCACAACAAGGGAGGCTCCAACAAGACCGTGGTGGCTGCCATTGTTGCACAGGTAAAAACTAACCTCCTTCGGTGTTTGATGAATCTGTAGAATTTTTTGTTAGCTCATTGCTACTATCCTAATAGCCAAGTCTCGAGGGCGGTGTTGATACTTAGCTGAGTGATTCAACATTTGAGTACTAATTAGCACTAATTAGTGGCTGGGGCTTGTCTAATCATTGACATGGGTATATTGTAGTATAAAATATTTAGCTGAGTGCTTCAGATGCTGAAGTGTATTTTCCAATTAAATCAAAAATGATTTTACACACACACACATGCATCCTGACAAATGCACTTCCCTGGAATTGTTGATATGCATATGTGTCGTTGCTATCTGCCGTCGTTGGCCTACTTGGAGAACAAATAAGCATTTTAACATAAGGCATCACACAATTAGTTACAAAATCCAAATACAAAGACTATGCTAGATCTGAATTTTTTATGCATCGTTAGAGTTTAATGTAGTTTCTTACAGCAGCAACCTGAAGCCATAACACAAAACTGTACAAACTAAAATAAAAACATGTCAACATGCCTAATAACTTTGAAAGTCGGAGTCATACTACAACAGTTCACAGTCAATAGTCAGAAGAGGTTAATTAAGGTACTGGTATAAGATACTTAATTGGGCATACCTAATATCTAACCTTAAAGAATTTAGATAAGATGTCAAGGGTTCTTTAGTCTATAAATGGCACTCACCTGAACAACGAAGTCATGGTTGTCATTGCATAGCTCTAGACTAAATAATAAGGGCATAACCAAAAGATTTACGCATTAGTGCATGAACGAAGAGAAAATAAAATAAGCCTATTGTAACGCCCGGGTAATCAAGCTACAGTAATTCCATGCTAATGTTGCCACGTCACCACGGTTACTGTTGCTAATCTACCGTTAGTTCGAAAACGAGTCAAAACCGAGTCAAATTCAAACTCAAATTAATGTCAACAATAAAAGTTTTCAAAAGTTGAAACTAAAATGTTCGGGGTGTGCAGTTAAATGCCCGGGTAATTATAATAGAGCAAACACATTTTTATAAAATGCATAAATGATTTAAAATGAAATAAAACAAAAAAGAAAATAAAAGAAAATGCAAAACAGAAAACATAAAAGAAAAAAACAAAAAAGGAAAAGTGCCCCTGGCCCGACTGGGCCAACCGGCCCAGCTGGCCACTTCCGCCGGCCCGGTCGAACCGACCCGATGACCACCCC